TTATAACTGAGTGTATGTGTGTGTACCACATGTGTGCATGAGCCCACAGAGCTCAGAAGAGGGCCTTGAGTCTTCCAGGAACTGCAGTCCTGATAGTTGTGAGCCTCTGTGGAGTGCTAGGAGCCAACCCAGGTCCTTCATGGGAGCAGTAAATACTCTTAACTGCTGAGCCATCTCTCCAGACCCTAGCTGATCTAGTGTTTTTGTTTTGTTTTATTCTGAGACATGATCTCACACTGTAGCCAAAGCTTGCCTCAAACTCAAACCATAATTCTCCTGCCTCACTTTGTCCTGTTATACTCAGATCTTGGGGACCCCCAAAAGACCACCAGGGAGACTGAATCCTGCATGTAAAAGCAAACAGCCTTTATTTCAAGCTTCAGAACTTGGTCCCTCTGTCTGTCCGACACAGCGGTGAGAGCAGAGAACTCTGAACTCAGCTAGGGTGGGGTTTTTATCATAGTAGAGGTTGGGGTGAGGGGATTTCCAGGGTCCAGGACCCTGATTGTCTGACGATTGTCTGGGGGTATCTGTAAAACAAAAATAGGTGTGTGCTAGACTCAAGGACATCTGGCCACTTTATCTAATGGTTGGAATGTTTGGGATGTCAGGTACTTCCTCACCCCTGGGTAGGTCCCTGGGTGCTATCAGCTTAAGGCTTTTCCTGGATCGGGGTGTTGCCTGCCACTAAGCCTGTCACAGAAACTGTCTAGGCCTCTAAGCCTGTCATGGCTGCTGTGTGGTCAAGCTGTTTTGGGGCCCTCCACAGTCGAATGCTGAGATTATAATTGTGAGTCACCATGCCTACCTAGCTAGTATGTTCAATTTGATCCAGTAAACTAATTTAAATTCATTTAAAAATCAGGAGTTCAAGGCTATCCTTAGCTATGTAGTGAATTAAAGGCCAGCTTGGGTTATATGACCCTGTCTCAAAAAACAAACACACAAAAAACCAAAACAAAGCCGGGCAGTGGTGGCCCACGCCTTTAATCCCAGCACTTGGGAGGCAGAGGCAGGCGGATCTCTGTGAGTTCGAGGCCAGCCTGGGCTACCAAGTGAGTTCCAGGAAAGGCGCAAAGCTACACAGAGAAACCCTGTCTCGAAAAAAACAAAAAAAACAAAAACAACAAAAAAACAAAAAAACCCAAAACAAACCCAAAACAAACCCAAAACAAAATCAGAAACAAAGCAAAACAAACAAACTCAAATGAAAACAACCGATTATTTAATTAATAACTTTAAGTCCTTTAGTTAAGTGAAGTTAATGTACTTTTTTTTTTTTCCCCCGGAGCTGAGGACTGAACCCAGGGCCTTGTGCTTGCTAGGCAAGTGCTCTACCACTGAGCTAAATCCCCAACCTTGTTAATGTACTTCTTTTGTGAAATTTTTCCTGTGTGCTGCTGCCAGCTTCCTGGTTCTGCTCACTGTGCTGTGGTTGGGGAAGAGGGGAGCATTTGGGAGGTGGAGGAGGAACATAAGGAGTACGCCAGCTCCCTGGAAGACAGAAACACGCGTCAGGCAGAAAGCCCCTGTGTTTTCTCTATGGGAACCTCTGCCAGGGACCTGAGACTCGTGTGTGTGTGTGTGTGTGTGTGTGTGTGTGTGTGTGTGTGTGTGTGTGTGTGTGTGTGGTGGTGGTGGGGCAAAACAGCTTGATTGACCACACAGAAGCCATGACAGGCTTAGAGGCCCAGACACAACTTCTGTGACAGGCTTACTGGCAGGCCACACCCAGGGATCTACCCAGAGATGGGCTGGCATCTAAGGGGAAGTACCAGACATCCCCCCAAAACGGTCCAACCTTTAGATAAGATCACCAGGTGTCCCAGAGCCTAGCACACACCTATTTCCCTTTTACAGACACCCCTAGACAAATGTCAGCCAGTCAGGCTCCTGAACCCTAGAAATCCCCTCGCCACAACCTCCGCTATGATAAAAACCCCACCTTGCCTGGGCTCCCGAGTTTCTGCTCTGACCACTACATTGGACAGAGTCCAAGCTCCGAGCTTGAAAATAAAGGCTCTTTGCTTTTACATGCGGGATTCGGTCTCCGTGGTGGTCTTTTGGGGGGTACCTACAATCTGGGCACAACAGTATAGACTGGAACATCATTTTCAGCAGTATTTTGGAGGAGGTGTGGTAGGGGAGAGTCCTTCCTTTCCTGAGGTATTGCCAAGATCCTTCTGTCTTTCAGAATTTAGTCAAAATTCAGGAAGATTCTACCGCCAGTGTTCTCTCACAGGTGGCAGCCCCCAGGGACTCTCCGATGTACCCACACCTGCACTTTCATGGGCACCATAACCCATTCCTTCATGCCTCACTTCCATACACCTTCATTTGCTCTGTCCCCAGGAATCCTTTCTGCTGGAGGTGTGCTGTGAGACAGAGGTCGCCCTGCCCTGCGGGTCCCTCCCATCCATTACTCCACTCCTTGGCTTCCCACAGAAGGTTATTTTCAACTCACTTGACTTTTGAGTTTCCAAATCCCTCTGGTCTCCCAGTTCTCCGAAACGGAGCTTGACAATGGACTTTATTTCCTCTTTTGTTCCACACAGTTCTAAGGAGGAGAGATGGGCGATTTAGAATTAAGCCAGGGTTTCCGGAAGGATAAGCTGGTTTTCTGATCTCCCTCCACACCCGCTCTCTACCAGCTCCGCCCTAGACAGCTCTCCTGGGCTGCATTACCTGGGCTCCTGGCTGTGAGCCTGATTGGGACTGGTCAGAGGGAAGATGCTGGTTGGAGTCTGGGGAGGAAGAGGGATGGTGGCTGTTCCCCAGATGCCTCCTTGGTTTGCATAGTTTAGAAGTGGCCATGTTTCTCTGATGATGGCTGTAGCCTCTGTCCCCTGATTCTTCCACAGTCACAGCTCTAGGAGACAGGAACTTCTTTGCGCCCCTCTGAGATATCCAGAGAGATAGTAGTTGTCATAATTCCTGTTAACTAGTGTCCTAGGATCTCTTATTGTTCACCCTGTGAATGCTCCCTTTCCGTGAGCATACCTCTGAACGTGCTCTCTGGCTCCCACCAGGAGTCTGACTGATATCCTGGATATGTGTGGGGTTTCATAACATGCTGGGCACAGCCTCCTTTGATGATCCAGGAGTCAGGTATCTAAGAGTCTGAATGAATAAGGCTCCACTATGGCCGGGGGGGCTCAGCATGTGGAGGATTTGTGGGTACAGTATCTACCACAAGCTCAGCTCTGTGAGCTGAAGTGTGAGGAAGCAGAGGCAGATGGACGGCCACTCTTTGGATGTTTGTGACAGTGAGACATGAGACAGCCTATGTGTTTAGCTGCCTAACGTAAACACTTTAAAAAGAGCATTGGTGTTTGCTAAGTTGGCAATTGGTATTTGGAAAATCAGCTTTCCTCAACTTGATGATTCAGCTAGCAGTTCCTTTGCCAAACTGGGTTGCTAAGCAAATTCTCCTTGGAGAATTAGTTCACTCCTGTCAAAGCCAGATTCTCCCTGCCCAAGGAAGGCTGGACTTGACCTGCTGGCTCAGGGTAGATTGGCCTGAGTGCTTGTGTTCAAGGGTTGCTCCCCTGGAGTGTCTTCCAAGATGGGGAAACGGAGGACAGACCTCACCTGAGTCACCTTCAACCTCATACAGGGAGGGAAAGCTGCCTAGCGACGCAGACCAGAATCCATCCACGGTTAGGAGACTCTTTGGCTAGAAAGGGATCCAGTCTCAGGAGTCTAAAGGAGGAGTACCGAGGGCCTGTCAGGACACTCGGGGTGGCTTGGAAGGACAGGGATCGGGTCACAGCTGGATCTGAATGACCAGTGAGACTGGACCTGGGCCAGAGCCAAAGGGCCAGGGAGCTAAGTCCATCTCCGGACAGTCTGGCCTCTCCAGGTCCCTCTACTTTTCCTAGCCAGGCATTTGGGGTGTGTGTCTGGGCAAAGGGTAGTAGTGTGACATCACTGGAGTTACTGGAGTGCTCACCCGGAGACTGTGTCCTAAAGAGGGCAGGGTCTCTGGGAAGTGGTGCCCGACGGGCTGGGGGAGGGGAATGAGGTGGGAGGACAGCATCCTGGGCTGTGTGGGCTGATGAAGGGGGCGGGGACACAGCGTCCTGGGCTGTGTGGGCTGATGAAGGGGGCGGGGACACAGCATCCTGGCCTGGGTGGACTGATGAAGGGGGCGGGGACACAGCATCCTGGGCTGTGCGGGCTGATGAAGGGGGCGGGGGACACAGCATCCTGGGCTGTGTGGGCTGATGAAGGGGGCGGGGACACAGCATCCTGGGCTGTGTGGGCTGATGAAGGGGGCGGGGACACAGCATCCTGGGCTGTGTGGTCTGATGAAGGGGGCGGGGACACAGCATCCTGAGCTGTATGGATTGATGGGGGTGGGCAGGGACAGCATGCTTGGCTTGTGGGCTGACTCTTGACACGGATCTGTTGGGGCTGGTGAACTTCGGAGAGGAGAACCATGTTGAGAATTAAACTGGGGGCCTACAGGGGTGTGTGTGGAAGCCATTCTAAAGCTATCAGGGGAATAGCAAGAGAGGACCCTTATGAGAGTAGGGGCCACATGCATCCTCAATGGAAACGGGGCCTTTGATGGGTCCAAAAGTACCTCCATGCAGTTTGAAGCCCCACCCCACCAGCTGTACACGCCTTTCCTAACCTAACACCCCAGGTGGAATACGCTAGAACTTTACCTTAAGTGGGGAAGGAGAGGGTGGACTGGACCTGCTTCAGTTCCAAGGACTCCACTCTCATGGTTCTTTTTCCACCCATGGGGTTACACACACACACACACACACACACACACACACGCACACGCACACGCACACGCACACGCACACACACCCTCTTGTAGAACCAGCAAGAATCACATTCTTTTTTCTTTCTTTTAAAATGTCTTGGTGAGCCGGGCGGTGGTGGCGCACGCCTTTAATCCCAGCACTCGGGAGGCAGAGCCAGGCGGATCTCTGTGAGTTCGAGGCCAGCCTGGACTACCAAGTGAGTTCCAGGAAAGGCGCAAAGCTACACAGAGAAACCCTGTCTCGAAAAACCAAAAAACAAAACAAAAAAAAAATAATAATAAAATGTCTTGGTGTGTGTGCCATGACCCATGTGTGGCTGGAGGACAGCTGAGGGTGTCAGCCCTCACCTTTTTTTTTTCAATTGTTTCCCACTGGGCATACCTGCCTAGCTGTCCCACAAACGTCCTGGGATTCTCCAATCTTTGCCTCCTATTTTCCTGCACTAGTTCTAGGATTATGGATGCTCCTGGTTTTACGTGGATCCTGGGATTTGAACTAAGGGTTTCTTACTTACTCAGCAAGTACTTTATCCACTAAGTCATTTCCACAGCCTTCTTTTTCTCAAAAAGGGGTGTTCCAGGTTAAGTGTCTGTCCACTTCTGCCCTAAGGAGATAGCAGTAACACGTGACTTGGGGCTTGGCCATGTGACTGGAGGTCCTGTTGTCCACAGCACCCTTTAACTACCCTAACCACAGCCCAGGGTCTGCCAACACCATCCAGGAATGTGAGAGGGCCTCAGCTCTGAAGGGCATGGGCTGTGAGGGCCCTTGGTCGGGTAAACACTAATTAAGTCCTGCCACACCCAGCAGGATGGCTTTGAGGGGTGAGAGAGGCTTTATTCACAGGGAAGAGGCCTCAACCTCCTGACCCAGGTCTAGACCATGTGAGTGGGAACACTGGAAGACCTTCTGCCCCTGTCCCTAGGCCAATGGAGTCCGTATCCCTCAGCTCTCTAGCTCCGTATCCCTCAGCTCTCTAGCTCCATATCCCTCAGCTCTCTAGCTCCATATCCCTTAGCTCTCTAGCTCCAGGGTCTAACACCCCAGCCGCACCTTGGCCTACTGCTGTAGCAAGTAAACCTACTGCCAAGAGGAACTTCCTGGCACATCCCTGGTGATCAGAAGGGAATAGGTATTTGCAAGAGCTTGCATGCTTTGTTCACTGACCATCAGTGACACAGCCAGGAAGGCAGAGCCGTCCCATTTTATAGATGAGGAAACTGAGGCTTTGTTTGGGCTGATGATCAAGGGAGGGAACATGTGGTATGTGGCCTGAGGAATCTCTGCCTATTCTGAGTAATGAGGGAGGCAGCCTGACCCCTCTGCGTGTGATACGTCAGGAGCTGTAGAGCTGCTCCTCGGGGGTATTCTTAGTCGAGACAGGTCTCCCCGGGCAGTAATGGCATCTTCTACCCACTTGTCTAGGATGTGGGGAACTGAGTGGGTACTGCTAAACTCACACAACTTCCCTAGAAGCTGCACTTCAAAGGTACAAAGTGGCCAGGATTCTCCCATGAGCTGGCTGCCCCAGTCACTCATCCAGGGCCTAAGGATGAGTGAGAATCAGCTGACTGAGCCAGGATGACAATGCATCTGGCCAATGCTATGTTCTCCAGAGGGTGAGGCAACACTCTGAGCCCCTTGTCCAGTGGAGACCACAAGGCTGTTTTGTGGGGCCATGGTCCTGGGCAGCCAGAAAGGCAGTAGTAATACCTATTCCACGTATGCCTGACCTCAGGCTGCTTTAAAAGCCTGACTAGGGCACAGTGGGGACCCTGGTAGGTAGACTGGAGGCCTTACCATCAGGTAACACATCAGCGCTCAGGCTTGGAGAACTTAGACCCTATTTTTCCCAAGTGCTATCATCTCACAGAGCCCTCAAACTCCCTGCTGTGGGGACAAGACCTGTCTGGACCTGACCTCTCTGGTTCTGCTATCTACCTGCCTCTGTTTCTTAGGGCTCCTAGCAGAGCAAGGAGGGGGGCTCATTGAGACAAGGGTAGTACTGGGGTAGCCCCACCCAGGCTCTGAACTGACTCATCTGCTTAGCTTCCTAGTGGCTGGGTAAGGGCTTGGTGCCCTGGAGCCTGGCAGGCCGTCATAGGAATGTATAAAAGCAGGCTAACCCGGTCTGTGGCACTGTACCTATCACTCTCTGCTGCTGGACGATGCTGGGAGGCTTGGGGAAGCTGGCGGCCGAGGGCCTGGCCCACCGCACTGAGAAGGCCACTGAGGGAGCAGGTAAGGGCTGGGGCTTTCTAACTGTTCAGAAGTTGGGGGCAGACTTCCCTGGGCCTTTTGAAAGCTGTTATCAGTAGGCAGGCAAAAGCCTTGGGGTAGACTGAGGCTGAGGCCCATCAGGAAGTGTCATTTACTGACCCCATCAGGAGATAGCAGAGTTGGGGGGCACACACGCTGGAGTAATTGCTCACTGTAGAGCCCCTGCCCAAGCAGGCTTCCTACTAGGGACTTGCTCCATGACCCAGGCTGAGCCTGCTTGGAGGTCAGGAGGAGGCCAGCCCTGAGGAGGCTCCAGGAGGCAGGCGGAATCCGGGTGCTGGTGGCTTAGGTCCTTCTGTCTGGAAGCCTAGAGTACCTTTTATGTCAATATTGCTTATTCTAGGGCCTGAGTGTGTAGCTCAGTGAGAGAACATTTGTCTATATAAGGCCCTGGATTTTTTGCAAGAACTATAAAACAAAATGAAATAAAAATTATGCCTATTTTGATTAGTCTATGCAGAAAAAAAAGGAAGGTGGATTTTAATTTTCATCACACTTCAAAGCTTTAAAGGATTTTTTATTATGAAACCATGGTGTCTGGCCCTGTTCAAAGTCTAAAAGGACATTTCTGTTTCTTCCAAGAATTTAGGACATGGTATTGCCAGCTGAGGTCTGTGGCTACATGTGGCAGTTCCTCTGAGTCCCACTGTGGGACACAGGTGAAAACCTGCGTCAAATGTTTTTGCTGTTCTCTTTGGAGACAGATCAGCACTTGTTTCATTTTAACTCCACAACTGGATCTTCTTAATCTTAATCCCTTCTTAATCTTCCAGCCTTTTGAGCTGTGAGGGACCCGCAGTGGAAGGTTGTGTCAGGGACAGTTCTGTCTCTCAAGTCTTTGGGTCCTAGCATGCTCCCACCAAAACTCTCCAGAACTCAGAGGTGGGCAAGGACTCCTTTCAGGAAGGGTTGCCTGGAGGAGCTTAGCTTCTCTGGAGACGGACAGATGCGGCTGAAGCAAGTCAGTCAGCTCTTCCCGACAGGCGTGGCTGATTGACAAACACACCTGCCTTGCCTCAGGTTTCCAGGAGGCAGAAGGCTGTTCTAGTTATCCTTGTCCTTCCAGGCTGAGGGGTGTGTGTGTGTGTGTGTGTGTGGGGGGGGGTGTTGTGCGTCTCCAGGATCCAGGCATCTTGGGGGTCTATGAGGGAGGCAGCTAAGGGTTTTCCTAAGCTGTCTCCCCTGACTCGGGCAGCTCACCAGAGTCTTCCCTTACTGTCTAGAGGCATCCCCGGCACTGTGAGGGCAGGTGGTTGACACACACCTTCACTCTGACTTTGTCTTCTTTGTTCAGTTCACGCAGTGGAGGAGGTGGTGAAGGAGGTGGTGGACCACGCCAAGGAGGCTGGAGAGAAGGGTAAGGCTGATTTGTTTGCAGATGGGAATGGGGAGGAGGAGAGAAGGAAGGAGAAAAGGGGGCAAGGAGAGAAAGGCAGAGGGGTGGGATGCAGCTCCGTGGTAGAGCACCCTCCTAGCACGCGTGAAGTGGTCGTATTCCCAGCATAGGAACGGCAGGAGAGAGAGAATGACCTAAGCAGGCAGGGAGGCAGAGGGAGGAAGTCCAAGCACTAGGGCTAATCCTTTTCTTGCTCAACCAGACCCAGCCCTGCCCCAGATGTAGCATCCTCTCAGCTGGGCTGCAATTATCTATACATCCCTGTATGCAATTATCTGTGCAGGCTGTACCTTGTCTTAGGGCTCCATCTAGGCTGTTTTCTCCGTGCAACGTTAAGAAGACAAGGCCACAAAAAAGGACGGGGCGGCACATAGGGACACAACAATTAAAATAGACAATTTCGTGTTTTAATATGTATTTGTATAAAAGTTTACTGTGTATGTGTTATGCCCTGAGTAGAACAGTGTACAAAACATATCTCACTCCAATCTCTACAACAACGTAGGGTCCAGCCGGGTGAAGGACTTACATTTAAACATATAAATACATTAAACTGTGTAAGCTCAACCAGCTAAAATGAAATGCCACAAATTCAATGGTTCATAAACAGCAGAGATTGATTGTTTCTACAGTCAGGCACAGTGGATCATGTCTGTGATCCCAGAACTAGGGAGAACAAGGTGGGAAAACTGAGTTTGGGGCTAGCCCAGGTTATGGAGTGAGCCCAGCCTGAATTACTTAGTGAGACTTTCACTCAAAAAGGAGGACAAGAGAAGGAAAAGAAAGAAATGTATTACTCTCGGTGCTGAGGTCTGGGGACCTCGGTGGCGGTAGTTGGGCAAGTGGCGAAGCTGGTTCCGGCTCCCACGTGGCACCTTCTGCTGTCCTCACGTGGCTGAAGGCTTAGCTAGCTCTCCTGGCTGGGACCCCTCTTGCTCATGAGGCTCCACCCATCCTGCTCACCTAACCAGCACACGGCTCCTACCTTTTCATGGCACAATCTTGAGGAGGATTACAACACGGAGTTTTGGGGATACAAAAATTAAGACCAAGGAAGTGTCATAAGAGACTTCAGCATGATCTTTAAAAACAGCAACAACAAAACAACACAGTAGTCATAAAGTATTAGGTAAATCTGTCAACATGAAACTTCACAATTTTACACAGGAGGGCGAAAGGGAGGAACACAAAAAAGCAAAGCAAAACGGAAGTGAAGTCAGAAGGAAGGCCACAAACTTCTTTGATGAAGTGTTCACGACAGAAACTGTAATCCAATATAGCAATCAGCATAAAAATGGTCAAAGAAACTAAGGAGCAGTCTCCAGAAAAAGTGCACATAGCCAGGTCCCCCATGAGCTGTCCACGCTGTCTCACTCAAACTTGAATGAAGTTGTCAGGAAGGTCAAACCACACTGGATTCATTATGACGGGGGTACTCTTCCCTTTGTCCCCGGGAGCCGGGCCAGGGTTGATCCCTATAATAGCCTCATCCCTCAGGCCTTTCCTGCTGCAAGCAGTGGGTTGCTTATCCCTACAATTTTCTTTCTCTTTTTCCAACAGCCCTTGCAGATGCCCTAAAGAAAGCCCAAGAGTCAGGGGACAAAGTGGTGAAGGAGGTCACTGAGAAGGTGACCCACACTGTCACCGACGCCGTTACCCATGCTGCAGAAGGCCTGGGTAGACTGGGTCAGTGAGCTTGCATACCACCCTGCCCAGCCCTTCCCGAATGTCAATAAAAAGCATGAAATGTGAACAGAGTCCCGAGTTTACTCCTGTTTGGATGGAAATCCTAGGCAAAGTGGTTTTTTGTTGTTCTTTGTTTTGGACACAGGTCTTATATGGAGCAGGTTGGCCTGAACTCACTTGCTGTGTAGCTGAGGCTGACCTTGAACTCCTCATCCTTTTGCCTCTAACTCCTGAGTGTGGGATCACCAGGAATGGCTAAGTGTTTTTTAATGGAAACACTGTATATTGTTAGCTTCTCCTCTGCCATAGAGGAGCATCCAACATGGTGGGTACCTGCCACCTCTTGTGGTCCCCATCCAATGAATCAGGTGAGGAATTATCTTTCCAGCAAGCAGTCCGTGTGTGTGCGCGTGTGCGTGTGCGCGCGTTTTCAGGCAGGATCTCTCACTGGCCCGAAACTAGCCCGGTAGACTAGGCTGGGGGACCAGCAAGCCCCAGGGCTCTCCGCCTGTCTCCACCTCTGCAGCACTGGGAATACAAGCTCGCACACCACCATGGCTGTTCTAATTTTTTATTTTAAATGTGGGTTCTGAGGATGGAGCTCAGGTCCATGATTGCACAGCAAGCCCTTTACCTAGGGAGTTCTCACACCTTGAACGGTCAGCCCTCTCCCACCCCTCTCCCTTTTCTTTCCTTCTCTATTTGTCAAATGACCTAGGGTTTAACAAGCACCACGCCTGTTCTCTACCACGGAGCTCCATCCCCAGCCTGTGCTGCAGGTGTGCACAGGTGTGCAGGCGCTCAACAGGCCAAGTGCACATTCCCTGTAGCTAGCATTCTTTGGTTTTCCTTGCAATGGAGGGTACAGAAGCCAGTTATGGAGGAAGACATCCACTGCTTGTTTCTGGAGGCTCCTGGTGGACTCAACCAGGAGACATGTGGCCAAGACATAGGTAGTGGGTGGCAGTGACCTCCTTCTTCTCTCATGAGCAATCAGCACCTTACAGTTCAAATAAATGTGTGGAGGACTGGATGTGGTGGCACACCCCTGTAATCTCAGGGCTTAGGTGCTGACACAGGAGCATCAGGAGTTCAAGATCAAGCCTCAGCTATGCAGTGAGTTTAAGTTAAGTGAGTTACAGACCGGCTAAGACTCGGTCTGTAAACAGTGTGCAAGTAGACAGCATTTAGAAGTTCTGTAACAGAGGCCAGGTTGTAATGCTACATGCTGTAATTTCCAGCACTTGGGAGGTGGAGGAAGGAGGCTGAATCCAAAGCTAGCCTGGGCAGAGATGGGTGGTCCTGGGATCTGGCTTGCCAGCCACTCAAGCTGAATGAAATGATGAGCTCCAGGTTCAGAGAGACCCTGCCTCAAAAATCAGGGTAAAGAAGGGTGGAGGAAGATACCCAACATCAACCTCTGGTCTCCATGTGTATGGGCTAGTATACATGCACACACATGTGCAACATGTGTTTATGATACACATACACATCTTTGGGAGCATAAATTTAGAGAAATCCTGTATAAAACTATTATTTATTTAAGACAGTGTTTCTTTGTGTAGCCCTGGCTGTCCTGGAAGTAGCTCTATAGACCAGGCTGGCCTCAAACTCACAGAAATCCGCCTGCCTCTGCTTCCTGAGTGCTGGGGTTAAAGGCATGTGCCACCATGCCTGGCTCTGGCTCTAAGATTTTATTTATCTTGCTGGAAGCTATTTGCTCTTAGCAGAAATGAAGAGAAAAGGTCAAGGAATAAATCGGTTTCTTGCCACATTTTGGCCCTTCTGGAACTGTCTCACAGATTTCCAAAGGCCAACACTGGAACGCACATTGTCTAGCTAGTGCTGGACTTATCTTGGTTTGGCTCCTGAAGACTTCTGAAACTTCCCCAATCCAAACCCAGGCTTATAGAGCTAAGGACACTATGAGTGGCAGACATGGATTGGAATGGTCTCCTCAGGTGTGTAAAGCTGCCCAAAGGGGAAATGTAGACTTACTATTACAGGTTCATGGTAGCAAGAGCATGACAGCAAGACGGAAACATCAGAAACCATCAGAAATCACTCGGGTGGCAAGTTGTGCTGTTCATGAGGCTTTCCACACAATATGGAGATGGTGCCTATAAATTCTACTGAACTGTAAGTTCCTCAGTCAGGGAGTGGGATCTGTGTCTGGAAGGCTACCATCTTTGGCTAACAAATGCTGCCTGTAGAGGAAATGGACTGCACATGGCTACTGAAGAGAAAGGGCTAGGGATGTAGCCCAGTGGAGGAGTGTTTGCCGCAGACAAGCAAGGTCCATGCCCAGGCCCAAAACACAGCTAGAGGAATGTAAATACATATGTCCAAGTAAATTAGTAAGTAGCAAAATATATATGCAGAACAAGTTCATTTTTCATATGGCAAATGACATAATCATATAAGAACAGCATAAAAATCTAAACAGCTTATACCTGATAAAATATTGACAGTGGTCCTCTCTGTCTGTGGGAATGAGAAATTCTTACTTTAGCACTGTATACTTCTCTGTTTGATTTTAAGAGGAAACTAATGCAGTTGTTTTAACAGTTTGGTCATGGAGGGCAGTATTAGCTTATTCGAGATTGTTCCCTAGTGAAGTACCACTGAGAGTTTGTCACCACTTGGGAAGAGGGAAGGAGCAGCATTTGGAAGCAGAGCACTGTGGCTCTGTGGACAGCCAGGGTGGACTGAGTGCAAGATTTCTGCTTACCAGGCTACGGAGGCCAGCTGGCACTGTTGAACTTGCATGGCAAGTCCTCATGTGAACTAGTCCACATGCCATGAGGGAGATAAACAATGAAATTGTCCTATCTCAGGCTGACAAGATGGCTCAGTGGATAAAATGTTTGCTGAGTAAGCTCGATGGCTGGAATTCAGTCCCTGCAACCCACATCGAAACACAGGAACCAAGTCCACAAAGTTGTCCTCTGACCTCTGCACGCACACACGCCATGGCATGTGAGTGACCCTACCCCGCAGTAACAATAAAATGTTCAAAAAAATTGTCCCATCTCCAAAGAAAGTCAAAGTGTTGCCTACATTTTAATTCCCCTCCCAAACTGCTGTTTCCTAGAACAAGTGCATCTTCCATATTTTATTTTCTTCTAAGTGTACTTGGCAATGAGGGGCATGAAGTCAGTGTTTACCAAAATCATAGTGGTGTCAGAAAAAATAATGCACTGCAGTGTTCAGCTTCTATTCCTGGTCACCCTCTACCCTCCCTGGTTACCAGTCTAGAAAACCAATGGCCTGCTGTTAGTGAACATCTACAGTCCTGAAATTCCAGCACAGGGAAGCTTGAATTAGGATTGCCAAAAGTTCAAGGCCAGACTGGGCTATAAGAATTAAGACCCTGTCTCAAAAAAGTTGAACAGCCTGGAAGACCCCTGGAAAGACAGAATGTTGTTGGAATTCTTTCTTTCCAGACCTCATTTATCTGGGCATGGTGACATACACCTTAAATTCTAACACTCAGGATGGACAGACAAGAAGATCATAAGTTTGTGGGCAGTCTGAGCTATGTAGGGAGACCCTATCTCAAAAACAAACAAACAAACAAAACCCCAAAAACCCAAAGGCTGGGGGTGTGGCTTAATGGTAGAGCACTTGCTAGCATGTGCTAGGTCCTGGGTTCCACTTTAGAGTACCACAGAAAACAGATTCCCAAACTGTAGAGACTTGCCATCGTTTGAGCTGGTCCCTAGTCCCCAGGAACACCCACCACCAAGCTATCTTTACTTCTGACTGCTCATGTTACATTAAGTCTTTTCTCTGGGGGCAGTAGCCAAAAACACTTAGACATTGTTTAAGTTGGTGGCTGGTAACAGTCTGAGCAAACAGGAAAAGAGGCTTTTATGGAAAAACTGGTAAGTGCGAGGTCTGCAGGGAGGGTACATTCCAACTTACTTCTGGGGTCTGGAGATGCCCTGTGCACATGGTATAATGACCCTGAAAATGTGCAGGGTGGGGTGCAGTCCAGAGGCTGAATACTTGCCCATCACACACTAGCTGCTGTTTGTTTTAAAACTTGCCTGAACGTTATTGTGCACCCCGGGTATGCCTGGTACCCCCAGAGGCCAGAGATGGTGTCAGAGTGGGAGTTAAGACAGTTAAGACCTACCATGTGGGTCCTGGAATTGAACCCAGGTCCTCTGGAAGAGCAGTCAATGCTCTTCACTGCTAAGCCTCCAGCCTCTATCTTTTGATCCCAATTCTATAATCTTATCTCTTTGAGTTCCTAGGAGGAAGTTAGTATAGCCTGTGGGTTGTTTAAACCGGTTGGCCACTCAGCAAGTTGTAGGCTATTAGGAACACACAACCCAAATTTTTAGTGGAAAAGATCTCGGTGGCCTACCACAGCAGCAGCCAGGTTAGAAATGGTAGCTGCTGTGAGACACAGAAACTCCCTGCCCTTTACCAGCCTTTCTTAACTAGTTAGCCAGAAGGCCCTCGTTTGTTTGATGACCATTTCACTCTGGATCCATTCCTTGGACTGCACTACTTTGTAGTTTTCAACATCATCTCAGACGTCGTGTTTTGTGAGTCACTGTTTAGAGAACCAGAGAGAGGCCCTGCAGTTCCCAGACAGAACTTAATTCTAAACTCAGCCCTCAGCCATTCTCTAGCCCCTGACCTTCGTGAGCAGCATCCTACTCCAACCCTAGTCTGCCTTCTCCCCCAGAGCCAGGATTGTGCCGTATGCCATAAGGAGGAGGGCTGGGAGGCCTGAGCAGCCATCTGCCTGGTATGAATTTTTGTTTTTGTATTTTGGAGACAAGGTGTCTCTGTGTACCTTTGGAGCCTGTCTTGGATCTCGCTCTGTAGCCCAGGCTGGCCTCGAACTGCCTCTGCCTCCCGAGTGCTGGGATTAAGGGTGTGCGCCACCACTGCCCAGCGTCTGGTATGAGTTTGAGAGGTAATCATTCTATGCTTTCTCCGGGCCTCACAATTCATAACATCCACAATGATTAGCAAAGGTGTACTTAATTATACCCTAAGGATACCAGTGTGTTGTTACTACCACCATTGACATGTGCTTGGAAACACCCAGGCGTTTCTTGCACCCCCTGTAGCTGGCTGTAGAGGCAGAAACCGGAGCTTCTGTGTGTGGAAATCAAAAATATCTCTGGCACTTCCACAGAATGGAAGCTGGTTAGCATAACTGTCTCTCTCTCCTTCTTGCATTAATACTTATGGATAGAACCCACTCGGTCATTTATAAGCACCCAAAAGTCGATTATGCGGGCTTCAACAGCCTTTGTAGCTGAAGATGACCTTGACCTCCCCGTCCCCCACTAAGCACTGGAATTAGGTCTTCACGTTTTAGTGTATAACATGGGCGCCATTACAGTTTCTCGCCTAGCGCTTGCTCCCGTTGACTGCTGTTACCCTCCCTTGTTCCATCTCTCCCAGTTTCCCGTCACCTCACGTATGTGTTAACTTAGTCAACTAAAGGTACGCACCCCACACGCAGCTTAGAGAACCGACACTATTTACCTTTTCTTTTGTCCTATATCACTCCCACTCTTTCATGTTTGTATGCACACACACACACACACACACACACACACACACACACACACACACACGAACTCAAGAGATGGCTTAGCAGTTAAAAGCACTTGCTGCTTTTGTAGAGGACCGCCCCATACACGCTATAGTTTTTCATCCATTCATTCACTGATTAGGCATCTAAACTGGTTCCATCCTGGCTATGGATGTACAAATATCTATGTGGTGTGTCAACATAGACCAGGCTGGCCTCAGACTCACAGAGATCTGCCTTGTACCACCACTGCCCGGCCCCATATTATCTTAAGTAGCTGTTAAATTCTGTAGCTAAATCGCTTCAAACAAAACTTTATTTAGAAGATACCAAAAAGGGACAGGTATGATGGTAGCACTCTGGAGCAACAGGCAGGATTGGGAGGAGTTCAAGGCTAGCCCCAGCTAATAGCAGGTTTGAGGCCATTCTGCACTACATAAGACCCTGTTTTAAACAAATGAATAAACAAAAAGTACCAGAAATTACACTAACATATTAGTTTTACACACTATAGCCTCTTCCCCAGGAACAGCCATTATAGCTTAATAAAATGAAATTAAAAATAATCCAGGAATAAAATCTGAGCAGCTAGCCAGGTGGTGGCGGCGCATGCTTTTAATCCCAGCACTTGGGAGGCAAAGGCAGGAGGATCTCTGTGAGTTCAAGGCCAGCCTGGTCTACAAAGCAAGATCCAGGACAGCCAGTGCTACACAGAGAAACCCTGTCTCAAAAAACCCAAAACAAAAACAAAACAAAAAATTTGAGTAGTTCATAGCAAAAGAAATGACATAGGCAGTTATGAAACTTTTCACACCTCAATTACTGTTTTAACATTTACTAAGAGACTTTCAAATATGAAAACACAGAAAAGAAACATAAACTTTGGAAAAGGTAGACTTTTAATAACTGCTTTTTTCATGAAGTTAATCATGCAGTTACAAAGTAGTTAGAAATTTCTGAAAGGATATTGTTAAAAAAAAAAAAAAAGCACTCATTCTTATATAAATAATATCTGGTACTTCTGAGGAACACTCCTGTTCAAAAGCCCTGGCCAATGACTCCCAAACAAAAGTCAACTCCAGGCAGTCTCCAGCCTACTGTTAGAGAAGTGGTGAGCAGAATGCAAAGCCTTGGAAGGGGCACACAGTCAGTGGAGCCAGCCAGACTCCAAACGGGGAGTCCAAGGGTTTTTTCTGGGACACTATTTGAATTACGGTTCAATTACTCAACACAATGGATCTTTAATGAGAAGAACAAGTTATTTTCATGGTAAAGAGGTTACTGCACTCCCTGGATGGTGGTACAAATTTCCCAGAGTCCCTGTCACTTGCAGGTATGAGGAGAGTGCTCCCACAGTGCCACTTTGTTTCTTCTGGACAACAATGCAGTGCCAATGAATTATAAATGATGTTATAAAAACTAGCGTCTTCCATTTACTATGTTTAAGCATTCACTGCTTGAGTCAAGGTTAGGCTTAAGTGATTAAAGGCAATTTATTACAGCAGCATGGACTCATTTTATTCTGAAAGAATAAAATACATAAGAGAAATAGCTTTATTTTTGTTTGCAACTTAGAAAATTGAGTTATTTTGCAGATGTGAAATAGCAATAACTCATTTGCGGACCATGCCACCTTTGGAAAATGCCACACACCTATTTCTTCTATGTGTCCAAGTTCCCAGACTTGTCCCCAAGTGGCTGACTGCTCTTGATTGCTTTCCCTGGCAACAGCACTGACCCTGTTGGGAAGGGCCCAGAGTAAGGCAGCACAGCCAGGAGGCAGGCAGAGACTTTACTTAGAAAAAGTACCTAAGCGGCTCTCGGATACACGTGATTCCTACTTTTACACATAGCTTGTACATGATCCTCTAACCTAATCTCTCTTAAGGGGCTGATTCAGACTGACTTGCTGGGAACAGTGTCCATTAACTAATGGGTCACAAGAACAGATTTCTGTGGTTACATGTAAACTTGTGACAGGTCTGCAGAGATTATAGGTGAAGTGGGTGGTAAAGAAGTCAGTCAGGACCTGTCTATGTGAAGGTCACACCAGCCTCGTTGTACACCTTGAAGACTTTCTCAATGGCATTGACATAGGCAGCTGTTCTCAGGTCCAATCCCAGGTTGTACTTCATGGCTGTGCGCATAATTTGCTGGAATGAAGGAGAAAAGGCAGTGAGACCACCTGACTGAGTAGCCAGCTAGGAACACAAAAGATACGTGTGGATTCCTGGTATTAGTCACCCACCCCATGACTAAGTAAGTGTAAGACTTCAACAGCCAAAGAGACAAATGATTGTAGCAGCAAAAATGCTTTTGGAGGAGTGACAAATTCTCTGTTGTCACTGTCCAGGGAACAGCAAGAAATAACTCCGAGAACTAGAGACGTGAATGGTTCCTCTGCCTGTTAACTACCCTGTTATCTGGAAGGAGCTCAGAGCACAGACATACTCAGTGACTGTTTAAAATAACTAACAGGACAATGGGAACATTTCAGAATTTCAGTAACGACAGCTACACAGCCTTGTGATTACATTACAGGCTGATGAGTTCATTTTGTGTATGTGTATGCTGTGTATGTGCACACCCATGTGCCAATGTGCATGGGATGTCAGAGCAGTACTTAAAAGGAGTTGGTTTTTCCCTCCTACCACGTGAGTCCCAAGGATTGAACTTAGATGATCAGATTTATCCACGGAGCCATCTGCCAGCCCATTATAGTGTTTTAATTAAAACAATTTAAAACAAAGCAGCAAAAATTAAGCATAGCAGCACATGCTAATAATTCAGGTACTAGGTAGGTAGAGAAAGGATGATGAGGAGTTCAGTCACATCCTCAGTTACATAGTGAGTTCAAGGCCAGCCTAGGACACATGAAACCCTGTTTTAAAACAAAACACAAAACCCCAGCAAACACAGCACACCAAGCAGTGCCGCCTTCTTGAGCGGAGTCTGTCTGTGCTGCTTCAACCTGGAAATCCAAATGGGTAGAATTTGATCAAGAGGAAATAAGCCTTTCTTCCCAGCACTTGGGAGGCAGAGGCAGGTAGATCTCTTTGTGTTCAAGCCCAGCCTGGTCTATATCTGAGAGTTCCAGGACAAGTCAGTGCTACATAGAGAGACTGACCCTATTTCAAAAGACAAAAAAAAAAAAAAAGCAGAAAAATTGTACTCAAATTGTGTAACATTTAAGGCCCTGGTGTAAAAAAGGTTCAAGTGATGAAAAAAAAAAAAAAAAAAAAAAAAAAAACCAAAAAAAAAAACCAAAACCAAAAAGCTAAAAGTCAAAAATTTCTTACTTAAACCAAATTCTATTGTAAGTCAGCTTTGGGCTATTAAATAGCAATGGATTGATCAGCATTCTAGTTTGGCCAACCACCTTTTTGGTAACAGTCAACTGCCTAACCCAGGCTGATTTCTTCCTCAAGATGTACTGACAAAAGTGCTCATCAACTGAGGATAAAACAGTACATGTCCTGCTGTACACAAATGGAGACCAGGTAACAGCATCACAAAACAATCTGCCTGCTGAGACAACATGCTTATCTGTGTTTCATGTTATTAACACAAAGGCAGCTATCATCTGCACACATACCCTGGCAGATCGCTCCATTGTGTAGGCCAAGCCAGAGTGCACGATGTCTTTCTCAGAGGCACCCTGTTAGGAAATAGAACATTAACTTAACAAAAACACATCAAGATATGCTTCATGTCTCTAGAAGGATATCGAGGATTAAGCTGATACTGCAGTAATAAAGGAAAGACATAATTTCTGCACTGTATCAGGGTATACTAGCTGGATAGACACATCACGTTTTCCAAACATAGTTGTTTTAATTATATTGGATAGCAACAAAAACTCATGAATTAAGATCCTAATTAAAACAAACACAGAAAAGCAGCCTGAGGGCAGGCAAGTAGTCAGATTAGCATCCTCCACTCAAGCTATCCTACACAGCTGCTATCCTCCCACACTGGACACCTCTCTCAGTGAGCAGAGCCACCAGACACAGAAGGGATATGGCTAACCCAGACAGCAGCTCTGGGAAGCTCTTGCCTGTGTTGTGTACTCAGTACACAGCTGGAGGAGCAAAGAACTTTCTGTTTCTACAGACTCTTCTATCTAATTTGCTTCTTGGAGCGATTTCTTTAAAAATTAAGTGTAGCGCTGGGCATGGTGGTGCACGCCTTTAATCCCAGCACTTGGGAGGCAGAGGCAGGTGGATTCCTGTGAGTTCAAGGACAGCCTGCTCTACAAAGTGAGTTCTAAGACAGCCAGGGCTACATAAAGAAATCTTGTCTCGAAAACCAAACCAAACCAAACCAACCAACCAACCAACCAACCAACCAACCAACCAACCAAAGTGTAAGTCACTGCCACTCCCAGTGTGACACAAGACAGGTATACGATATATATCCTAAGTGCCAGATAAAAACCTGAAGTGGGTTACCAAAAATAGTGATCTTTTCTGGCCAGGCATATGGCACCTGCTTGTGACTCCAGAATCTGGGAGGTGGAGGAAGGAGGATCAGGAGTTCAAGCTCATCCTTGGCTACCTGTTGCAAAACAAAAACCCCAAAAACCAAAAACCAAAAAACCTCAAAGTTATTTATACTGAACATCTTGCAGTTCACACTTGTATTATACTTTGTTTTGGTCTATAAAATTAGGGAGATGAAACAAACTTGCTTATCAGGCAGAATAGTGCGGTTTCTTTCACCCATTGAGCAAACATTGATTGAGTGAAAATACTATGTTCTAGGCATGTTCAGGCATTAGGGACACAGCAAAGAATAAAATAATAAAAATCCTGAGCTTCCACAGAGCCTGTGTGTGTGTGTGTGTGTGTATACATACATATGTACGGCACACACACACATGCTGGCCTTAAATTCATAGCAGCCCTCCGAGTTCTGCCTCTTGAGTTCCAGGGTCCAGATACAAGACAAATGAGACACAGGACACTTGAAAATCATTATCTGGCACCAAATGCCTCTTAGGAGGTGACAACCGTAAGGGCCGCCAACAGTCAAGAGCATCAGCATTCCTCTTCTCAGTTCTTCTCCCTTTCCCACTTTTTGTCGTCTGTGGTGCTATAGCACTTTATAACTCAAAATTTAAGAGAGTTCTACCTATCTGCAGTATTGTTGGAATAAAGATATTAAGTCTTTAAGATATGTTTCTTGGGAATGGGGTTGTAGCTCAGTGATAGAGCACTTACCTGACATGCATAAGGTCCTGGGTTCAAGTCCCAGTACCACAGAAACAGAACATAACAGTTAGGTTAAATATTTTTTCCCATGCATGTATGCTATGTCTTTGTAGCCCATACTTTCTGCAATGTCCTGGTAAGATCTTTGTAATGTATCTAGACTATTGATACACCCTGCCAAAAACTGATTTGATTTATTTTTTCTAATCTGTTAACTCTATGTGTCCATGTAATTATTTCTTATTTTCATAAAATTCAGTCTCTGAAAGTAGAGTTAAAAAGTATGGCAATCCTTCATGATTATGTTGAATCATTAAGTACCCAAAACAGAATTACTTATTTGCCATTATTTTTGGAATGATGACATATAACCACATACTACAATTATGGTTAAAATCCTTTGATAATACTCCATTTAATTTACCCAGCCTAAAAGACAGGGCAGGGAGAATGTGGAAAGTGTCACTTTGGTGTCACCACACTCACCGATATCCTGTCCTGGAACTCTGCTGTAGGGACCACAGGAATAGTCCCGCCATGCTTTCCAAACTTCCTCTCTAAACTCTCTTGAACAGACACTGTAAAAAGCCAAGACATCAAGGGAAGACACTGTTAATAGAGGGAGAAAAGAAACGTAGAACTTAAAGTAACTCTAACTTGTATGTGTAGCCCCAAACTAATGTTTTAGAAATCTTCACTCCTAATGACACAGAAGGGTTAACCATGAGAAACTCAGCAAGGAGAGGCCTGCCAAATTCCTATAGAAATGTGAATTTAGGTCACCGCTCTGTTTCCATAACACCCTTCATTAGGGCTTTCTTCTCTTCTCTTGGCTCTGCTAAAAAATTCTGAGGGAAGAGAAAAGGACAGAGAGGAACATTCTCAGGGTGGCAGAGTACAGGGACACAGCTGGAGGTCTTGGTTTTATTTCAGCTTGGATGAAAAGTTCTAAACTTACTCTGGCCAAATAAAAACTCTTACCAGAGGACTCAAAAAGGGGTTCCACACTAGGTAGCACTTCTTTTAATCAGTGTATAAAAGAATGGGTTTCATTGTAACATTTTCATAAACGTTAGCTAGGCCTTTTCTGAGAACAATTAGAGATAGGGATGAATAAGATCAGTGGTGGAGTTCAGGCTTAAAAAAAAGACTTAACAGTATCATTAATTTATAGATATTATATTTGAGAAAAATGACATTATATAAAAATGTGTCCTTTCACCCTATGAACCAGGAGACAGAAAAACTTGTTTTCTGTTCTTAGGCAAAGGTCTCTAGCATTATCAGGAAGGGGTTTCCTCAGTGTGTGTGTGTATGCTCTCCCAGCTCTATCTTTGGCTCAAAGGACAATTTCTGGAGACACAAGCGACTCTGAGAACTCACTGAGCAAGTGGTAGTTAGAGTCCCTCTCGTATTTGAAGGTCAATCGGCCATAGCTGACATGATTTAGGTTCTTCAGCCACTCAAAGTAAGACACTGTCACTCCTCCAGCATTTAAGTAGAGATCCTATACACAAAACATGACATGGAAAAAAAAAAAAAAAAAAAGGATGATGACTTCAATAACTGCCAGGCTTGGTGCTTAGCATCCTTAGCTGCTTCGCATCCTGTCAGGTCAGGAACTCAATTTCAATACCAAGGCCGACTAAACACCTGCGCTGGATAGTTTTATGCCAACTTGACACAAGCTAAAGTCATCTGAGGAGGGAACCAGTGGTTCTCAACCTTCCTAATATGTTGCAACCCTTTAATACAGGTTCTCATGTTGGTGACCCCCAACCATAAAACCATTTTCGCTACTACTTCATAACTCTAATTTTGCTATTGCTTTGAATTGTAATGTAAATAGTTTTGGAGATGAACGTTTGTCAAAGGGGTTGTAACCCAAAGGCTGAGAAATGTTACTGTAGGCGTTTTTTAAACTAGTGATGTGGGAGGGCCTAGCCCATTGTGGGTGGGGCCTGCCTCTGGACTGGTGGTTCTGGGTTGTATAAGAAAGCAGGCTGGGCCGGGCGGTGGTGGCGCACGCCTTTAATCCCAGCACTCGGGAGGCAGAGCCAGGCGGATCTCTGTGAGTTCGAGGCCAGCCTGGGCTACCAAGTGAGTCCCAGGAAAGGCGCAAAGCTACACAGAGAAACCCTGTCTCGAAAAACCAAAAAAAAAAAAAAAGAAAGCAGGCTGAGCAAGCCAGGGGGCAGGCCAGCAAGCAGTACCCCTTCATCAGCTCCTGTCTCCGGGTTCCTGCCTTGACTTCCTTTGATGGTGAACAGTGATGTGGAAGTGTTGCTTTGCTCATTGTGTTTCACCACAACAACAGCAACCCCAACTAAGAGAACACTGCCAACGTATCTTAGCTAGCTTATTCTTACCGTGATCTTAGACCAAAGTGTTGGTTTACCCACTAGTGGGCTGATGGTGCCTCACCAGAAGATAGCATTACCTTTGCCACCACTTAAGGCAGTCTACTCCATTTAAGTGAGGTGTTTTTGTTTGTTTGTTTTTAAAAACACATGCTTTCTACAAAGTGGTCTCTTCAGAGTCCATATGAAGTTCCAATAACTCCCCTATTTTCACCCCAAACTCTGAACACATGTTCTTCATAGTAGCAGGAAAAAAAAAAAAAAAGGAACTAAGTGTGTATGTGTGAGTATGAGTGTCTACAGAGGCCAGAAGAGGGTGTCAGATCCCTGGAGCTGGAGGTCTAGGCAGGCTGTGAACCATCCAATGATGACACTCTGAACTTGCAAGAGCACTCACTACAGGCTTTTGATGGCTGTGTCATCTCTTTAGCACTCAGTTTTCCTTTCCTTTTTCTTCTTCTTTCTTCAGTAAAGCAGTAAGAAACATTCAAAATGCATCAAGTTAGGAACTGGGTAACAAACCTTAAGAATTTAATTTAGAATTGTATTTCTAGCACAGTATATATTTATCGTAACTAGATTTTGAGGGTTACTAATACTCAAGTTACAGCTAGAAGCTAGACAAAGTATTCAGGACTAAGAGAAAAGTGACTGGCATATTATTGTCTCTCTCTCTCTCATTTGTTTCTTGAGATGCTGCAGATTGAACCTTGAACTTCATGTGTGCTCTTGCAAGGGCCCTACCACTGAGACCCTGGCCTCAGCCTTGCTGCCGTTATATTTTCTTAAAAGTAAATAAAGATTAAGGATTTACTACAACCGTGACACCAGTGGGTTCTCTCTCTGCCAATTGCTAGCAAAAGAAATGATCCCCAGAACATACAAAACCGAAGAACGTAGGCGACCTACCGGAATAACCATGATGTTCCTTTCCAGGAAGATCTTATCAGCCTCTGGAGTGGTCGGTCCATTGGCTCCTTCAGCAATGATCTGCAAGAGAATTGGGGACATGTACAGATGCCAGGAAATCCTCATAGGAAAGAGATGAGTGTATGTGTAAGGAATTAAAAGGAAGAACATAATTTTGGTTAAAATTAAATTGCTCTACAAAGTATATACAGTTACCTTTTATTTTTCTGTTTCTCTAATTTTCTTAACTATGTTTTGAAAGTGGTAATGATGGTATAATTTTGTGACTCAAACAAAATCACTGATCAGACTTTTTATGATATTCTACATGGGTGATGCTGATCTGTTTTTACAATGGTTTTACCTTGGCTTTGACTCTGGGTGCATTGGATTTGGTCAACTGCTTCTCGCTGGCTGCAGGGATTAGGATGTCACAGTCAGCCTCCAAGATGCTTCCTTCATAGACCTTTGCTTTGGGGAAGCCCAGAATTGACCCATGTTGCTGTAATTGATTGAAAATCAGAATTAATGGCTCCAACAGAGTTTAAATGCTATCTTCAGTGCCTATTATACAAAATCTACTTATTTAGAGCTCTTTGAGACAGGTACAGTGGCTCACTCTATAATCTCTGCATTAGGGATGCTGAGGCAAGGAGATTGCTGTGAGCGTAAAACCAGCCTGGGCTACCCAGGGAATGAGGCCAATCAAGCATACATAGCATAGCAAGACCATGCATGCCTCAAAAAAAAAAAAAAAAAAAAAAAATTGCCTACCAATACTTGGAAGGAAGAGACAAGATGATCAACCCAAGCTTGAATACAAAGATCCAACACCACCACCGAAACATAAAACCAAAGGAAGAAAGAACACTAATGTCCCTGCCACCAAGCTTGATGATGAGTTCCAGCACTCAGGATCCATGTGGCAGAAGAAGAAACAACTCTTGCAAGTTGTCCTCTACGTGTGCACTGTGACACATGCCTCACCCACCTCAAAAGAAGTAACAAAAATGTTGCTATTATTTTTTTAGGGCTGGTGAGATCTCAGTGCTTGCGATCAGTAATGACCTGAATTTGAGCCCTGGGACCCCTGTGGTGGAAGGTGAGAGCAGACTCCTGTAGAGTGTCTTCTGATCACGAATTGAATGCCACAGCACATGAACACATAATTAAATCCCCCACCCCCCAAAACAAAACAAAAAAAACCTATTCTCTTAAAATTTAAGACTGTTCAGCTATCAGAATAACATACCAACTTGAAATCTTCCAGTTCCTTTGGGTCAATACCATCTGGATTCCATATACTCCCATCAGATTCACCAACGCCAACACATTTAGCACCAAAACGATGTAAATACCTCATAGAGTGCAGACCCACGTTACCAAATCCCTGTGAAGAACAATTATGCATGATACAGACTTGATGTAGATAGTATGGGTCATTTTGACCAACATAAATCTATGCTGATAATTTAGAAGCAAGTCTCAATATTTTAGCTAAAAGTAGCAATTTCCTGGGCCAGCAGATGGCTTATGGGAAAGGTACTTGCCACCAAGTGTAACTCTGATGACCCATACAGTGAAAGGAAAGAACCAACCACCCTAAGTTTCCTCTGACCTCTACTTGTACTGTGTGGCACATAGATGTCCACACAAGTACTAACAAAATGAGTAAATATATTAGCAAAAAGAAGCAGTGTATGGAATGGCTTCTTCAATGACATTTTCTATGCTCAAGAATCTGAAACCCAACCTTGTTACCTACGAGACTGAGCCCTGGAGAAGTTTAGTTAGGGACCTTGCTCGCTTATAAAGCCCTGGCAGTGGGGACAACCCACACCAATGCAGTCAGAGCCTGTGGTCTTATGACTGTATAGATAAAGGTATGCTATCATTTTAAGGAAGTGCTGAATGTTAACTTCTAAGTGAAATATGTGTGGACACAGAAACAAATTTAGGTCAATGTGGAAATATTTCTGCACACTTACAATGGCTGCACAGTTGAGGCCTTTTCCCCTCTGAATGCAATTTTATGTTTAAATAAGGACCAAAAGAAGTGATAGTCATGTATTTAATATCTAAGAGATATTAAATTGGGTCTAATTCTATGAATCATATCAAGGTTAAGAAAAAAAAAGACGTTTCACTCGAAAAGTCTTCTACAATCTAACAAACTCTCAAAGAATCTAATTTTAACGCCATAAATTGAAAACACTTTAAAATTTTAGTGTGTATCAGTTAAGAAAACAAAAACTGGGCTGATGAGATGGATAAATGGGTAAAAGCATGTGTACTCAAGCCTGACAACCTGAATTTAATCCATGGACTTTACTTAGCAGAAGAACTGACTCCTGCTCTGACCTCCAATGTACCCTGTAGCATGTATGTCTTCCCACATAAATAAATAAACAAATGTAAGTAGCAGAACAAAACCAAATCCCCAACTGTTTTACCTGAACAACAAATGTCTTGTCACCAAACCCTGGTGTCATTCCTAAAATGCTCATGTAAGAAGCTTCATTGATGAAGTTTTCAATTCCATGGAACACACCACGGCCAGTAGCGGAGATGCGCCCGTGGATACCTCCTTGACTGATGGGTTTACCAGTAACACAGGCATGTGCATTGATATCCTGTAAGAGAGGGCTAGAGGTTCAACCCCTGATACCATGAAATAATAATAATAACAATAATAATAATAATGAAAATAAATCCTTTGAGAGGAAAGGAGTCACAATTTAATGGAAGAATTTAAATTTCTTTTGAGACAGATCACTGACCTTGAACTTGAGATCCTTGTCACTACCTTCTGAGTGCTGGGATTATAGGCATGTGCCACCATACCCAGTACTAAATCCTGTTTCTATGATCAAGCCAATACAACAGAGTGCATTCTCATTAGCTAAACCTATTTTTAGTAAGAGTGTGTGTAAGTTGGTGTGGTGGCACTGCCTGTAACCCCAGCATTTGCTGAGGCAGGAGCAGCTCACGTTCAAGGGTACCCTGATTATAAAAACACAGAATCTACAAGCTTGTGCAAATCTCTGAGTATGTGTGAGTCATATAAGTTCATATTCATTAACAGGGAGGGGCCTTTTCCAACCTTCTGTTCTTAGGAATCTAATAAGGTAGGCTGTTTTTCACACTAAGAGACAGTTTAGTAATTTAGTGTTAAGCACAAACAACAATATCATAAGCGTAGATATGATTCAGCTTGAAGCTATTACTCCTTCACCGAAAACCTAAGCCACATTAAGTTAGGGTAGGCAGTGCTGGGCAGCGGTGGTCCCAGCATTTGGGAGCCAGAGGCAGGTGGATCTATGAATTCCAGGCTAGCCTGGTCTACAGAGTGAGTTCTAGGACAGCCAAGGCTACACAGAGAAGAAACCCTGTCTCAAAAAACAAAAAACAAAAAGTTAGGGTTCACATTTCACTTGTGAGTGCTTTAAGATTGCCAAAACAAAAACCAAAAACCTCAGAACCAGAAGAAGCATTGCAATTTTCTTGAATGGAAAGATACTGTTTTATAATCTACCAAGCTAATTTTGAAATCTAACATGTCAAAAAACAAAACAAAACAAAACAAAAAACCCTTCCTTGGGCTGGAGAGATGGCTCAAAGGTTAAGAACACTGGTTGTTCTTCCAGAGGTCCTGAGTTCAATTCCCAGCAACCACATGGTGGCTCACAGCCATCTGTAACGAGATCTGGCGCCCTCTTCTGACCCGCAGGCATACATGTAGGCAGAACACTGTATACATAATAAAATAAACCTTTAAAAACAAAAACAAAAACCCTTCCTCAAATGAAGAAAGAACTTCAAAAGAAAAATTTAAAATGGTGTTCATGGGCAAGATGCAGAAGCCTGTACCTTTGATGCACTAATAGATCTGCAAAGTGGATGGAGGGGTGATTTCAATCTTACCTACATTTTTACCTTCTTTAAATTATGGCTGTGCATGTCTTTTTGTTTACAAAGAGGCACAGTTAGTAAAACAGGGTCTTGAGGGCCTGGGCAGATGGCTCAGCTGGTAAAGAACAGCTTTGCAAGCTTGAACATCCCTGGGGCTGGCTGGCCAGCCAGGGTAGGCAAATTAGTGAGCTCCAGGTTCAACAAGACCCTGCCTCAAAAAATAAGGAGGAGAGCAACTACAGAAGACAGTGTTGACCTCGGGTCACACATACACACACACACAAAAGAAAAGGAGAAAAAAAGATGGGTTTGGGAGGGTTTCCCTTCCGAAGCACCATACATTATAAACATAGCAAGCAGAACATTGTGGAACAGACACAGTGATCAGAGAACAGAAGATGGAGAATTTTAAACCAGGGGCAAAAGCATGCCTAAGTGAATTTATTATCTCCTGCAATGAAGTGTTCAAGTTCATGTTCTATCCCTGTCCAGAAGTCCCCTGAGTTTTACTCCTCTATTTAAGTATTTTCTACAGAGAACTTGGACTTGCATTACTTGTACAGTTACCAACAAAAGAATGAAAACAACTCTGAAAAGAAGGCAGTCTAGCAAAGCCTCAGAATTAGTAGTTTTCCCACAGTTCTCTTTCATGAATAATTAACACCATGAATACAGAACTGCAAAGCTGGTGCCAGACAGTTCTAAACTGTGGGAATGCAAATGCCGGGGCAGAAGGAAATGCTGTGTGTGTGTGAGGTCAGGCCTGGTGCCAGCTGACTCCCCAGAGTATGTAATGGTCTGGGAACCCAGGAGGGAGGGACCATGTCCTGGCTCCCCCACACCACACTGTCAGTAGGGCTGGATGACCAGTCATGATGGCTTCCTTACTGTGATCTGGGTCTTTAGGTTTCTGATCAGTTAAAGATGGAAGGGCTTTGACCAGCCGCGTCCAAGGTTTATTTGGCAGAGCCTCCTAAGACTTCTTCACACTGCCACAACCGTGAAGGAGCTACGAGCAACAGTGCACTGCCGACCAGCCTGCAGTGGTCAGGGCAGAGCCCAGCTCAAGAACAAGAGAGCACATCCAGTGCTTTCTTAGCATTAGGAGGCATGCAAGCCAGGGGTGACGGTGAAGGTGCAAACCTAGCACTTGGGGAGCCTAAGCAAGAGGACAGCTCTACGTTTCCGTCTAAACTAGGCCAAAAAAAAAGGGAGGTGTGTCAGCAGAGCGGTGGTCCAAATCAATCACTGTTGCACTTCACTTCATAGCTGGGTACAATTCACACAGTGTAACACTTCCTTTTTGTGTATTTCACTAAGGGCTGTGGACTGTTCTGAGAGTCTCACGGACACTTGATTGCTAGCTTACATTGAGGAAGCTAAAGCAGAGACTCCCAGTGCATGAAGCTGTGGGTGAAGGAGGCAGGACTAGAATGCAGATGGCCTGCCTGTGCTCCAAGCATTGTGCAACACCACTTCAGGAAATGTGTCCCCCTCCAAAGCCTCCCTTCCATGCAGGCCCCGGAAAGACAAGTCTGACTACCCAAGCATTTTACTCCCACAAAGGCTCATATCCATTAACAGCAGACAACAAAGCTCTTCCAGGCAGCAGTGACCTTTTAGACTGCCATCCCTTTGCTTCTCTCCAATGCTACTTTTCTTAGCTGAACGTTTCCTGGAAAGCTCCCACTTCCTTCTTTTCATGCGCTCCTGTGGTCTGGGATTCTCTATCCAGCCCTCAACAATTCCATCTTCTGCTATATCCACAGAGTGAAACACTGATTATAGCTCGCCATAGCTTCTTTTTCAGGACAAAGACTGAAGTCCTTGATAGGCAGTAACCTGGCAGGAGCTCTCTTCTCTACTGACTGGGTACAACACATGCTCCCTGCCCTTCAAGCTCACTGCTCTTCTGTACTTCAGGACTTCCTAAACACTCCTTTCTGCTTCCACCTCTCCGACACGAGTGCCCATCTTTCAGAGCTCAGAACATTCCCAAAGAGGGCTGCACTGACTCGATTTCCAAAGGCTCTGGTTAGGCCCCACTATCCTTTTTCACAGCTTTGAAACAGCTTAGACACACACCGGTTGTAGTGCAAATCTGACTTCTACTTAGTGTAAATGAGTGTTTTTTTTAAAAAATCCTTTTTTCCTAAGCCACTCACCCAACTTTATGTTCTTGTATTCTCTTTCTCTCTCATAAATAAATAAATATTCACTTCTTAGTTTATGGATGTTTCCTTTCCCAAGGTTTCATAGTTTTCAGGGACAAGCTGTTCTCTCCAGCCCTGGGGTCGAGAGTCAGGGGCTGGTGTCACACAGACTGCCCCTCTTCCTAAGGATAAGTCACAGCAAAGCCTCTTCACTATCAATAAAACCCCCACTAGAGCTGACATCTGTGGCTCACTTACCTCCTTTGTCACCTTTACACAAGTGTGTCTTACCTTCTTCAATCTCAGCTGTTTCTCTTCCTCTTAGCCCCCAAATCTCCAGATGTTGAAATCCAACCAAATTTTCAAGGTTCAACTCAAATATCTCTTCAAAAAGGCCTTCTTCAGAAGCCCAAATTCTACCTTTATATCACACCATTTTCATACCTTAGCTCATGTGCCTTAGCGCCTCTCTAAGTGAAAGCACTCTGATGGGAAGGCAGAACTGAACGTACCGTCTAGTGCCTCAGCAAGTGAGCTGCCCTGGTTGGGAAAGTCTGGTCTCAGTGCTCAGTATAGTGCAGCATGTAAGCAAAAGCCCAATTCACGTAAACTCACTATGCTTACAGTTTCAGACTAGAGAGAGGGCAAAGTGATATGCATATCAAGTTTATGATTAAAAGGAAGGTGAACCCAGCAATTACCAACTTCTCATGAAATCGGATTAGTGTTACTTCTTATGGACAGCAATGCCGGAAGCCTTGGGATTCCGTGGATACTCACATAGTGCCCTATGGTGCTGGCATAGGTGTCAGCGATCCAGGACATCTCCCGCTCACCCGTGCTCATGTCTGGGGCAGGCACATCAATGCCAGGACCTGGGAGCACAGGGAAAGGGCAGTGCGCCAGTTTTTAAGATCAACTTATCCCAAACATTAAGATGCTTGCAATTCTCTAAGAGAACAATGTCATTGTGGCTAGAAAACTTTAGATCTCATTTTGGTAATAAACTGAAGCCACAAAAATACTCATTAAATGCCTCTTCTCTATGAAACTTGTATCCATAATGTCACGTGGCTATTTTTTCCACTGAAATTTACTGGATTGTACCTGGAAGTTACCTGCAGACAACAGATAGAAGTTACTCCTGGGACTTCAGAGTATGACACTGGCAAATGTTTGGTCTCTCAACCTCAGTTCCCTGAACTGTACCATTCTGACCACCATAACAGGATTATTCTGGTTACTGAGTAGCTGTGTATGAAACAGTTTAGCTCCCTACTGGCTTAGGCCTTCTCACTAAGGAGAAAAAGAGGGGGGAACGTGACACTGCTCAAGATAGTATTTATAAGATCTGTGATGCTTTCACTCACTGAATACTTTTGTTGGATTTAGCAGCCAATGGTTGGTGTATAGAAGGGTTTGGGGCTTAGCATTTAGTTCACCAGAGCACAGCAAATTAAAATAAGTACGAGAGCCAGGCGGTGGTGGCGCACGCCTTTAATCCGAGCACTCGGGAGGCAGAGGCAGGTAGATCTCTGTGAGTTCGAGGCCAGCCTAGTCTATAGAGCGAGATCTAGGACAGGCACCAAAACTACACAGAGAAACCCTGTCTCAAAAAACTAAAAAGTATGAGAATAGCAAACATTGGCTCGCAGTGACTCACCACTGCTGCTTCTAACACCACTGGATATGGTGAACTTACTGAGCAACACATTCAGTGATGTTCACCCTAACAGCAAAGGGAGAACTATGTAGAGATACTCAAAACTAAGGTAAAAATTATTAAGATGCCAATTAAGTAAGATATGGCATAGCTACACAAAGTAATAGTCATTCAAAGTTGATTTTTTTTTACCCATGTAAATAACTTGGAATTATTACCAAACCCACCATATAGAAAATGGCAGGTTTCATATCGCTATGTATGCTCTCATTTACATAAAATTCTATCCCCTTCTTCCTTCCCTCTCTATCCCCCCACATGCATGTCTACATACATATGCACACAGGTTTGGAAAGATAGGTATCAATAACTTGTTTACTATATTCTTGGATTTAAGCATTATAACTCTACAATATGCTGTTTGAATTATATCATAAGTTATTTTCATAAAAACTTAAAAAATGCTCAAATTATTAAGTCCCTCCACAAAATAAAGCTCTTCCTCAGGACCCAATCCTAGACACTAATTTTCTGAACAAATTGTAATATCATGAATACAAGATAGGCAAAATCAAAAATGAGAGGTCAAGGTTCAAGTCTTATGCTCCTACCTAATCTGTCACTCCACATCCTCATCTATTTTTAGGCATCTTTAAATCTAAGGATGCCTAGCCTCATAAGCCTGTCTTCCGTACAGTGCTTCTACCTAAGGCCTGACATTCTAGCCTTACTCACTGTCTGCTTTGCTTACGTTCCATTTGACATACTCAGACTATACGGCACTACAACCTTGTTTAACCACAGTTCTTTCCTAAGCTACAAAGGAGAAATTGCCATCAAATCTGCTTAGAAATATCTAAGGAGTGTTATTCTAGTTTTCAGCAACATTTCTTGCTTCAAACAGCAATATGAACTGGTAAGTCTGAGGTAAGTAGTTTGTAAATCAGAAAGACATTCTGAAAAAAACAAAGACATGAATGCTGACTGATACTAAAGCCAAGACAGATTTCCTACTAGGTTCATGAGTTTCCTGCCTCTCATAAAATCGATCTATGGGGATGTACACATCACAAGTAATTCCTGCAATACAGATAAATCCTTAATTCCATTTTGATTTAAAGGAAGGGCTAAAACCATGATAATTTGGTGATGGAGATACAGGGGGAATAAGAAAGACAGAGCTATGAGGAACCTGCAGGGTAAAGTTACAGGTGACAGGTACCATCTAAACACACACTAAGAATGAACATTTCCAAGCTTTCTCAAGAATCTGAAGGAGTATTTTCCAGTGTATTCTGTGAGGCTGGTATCACTTTACTACCAAGGCTGAACAAAGAATAGTTATAAAATGAGAAAACACTGCACAGAAATAAACAGTCATATTGGTCTACAAATGTCAAATATCATTTATTTCCTTGTACAGGGACAACACTGTATTAAATATGTACCACCTTACCTATGTGGGTTTGTTTACAGAAATTACTAAGTATCCTCAAAATAACAAAACCAAACCAAACCAAAAAAACCAAACCAACAGAAAAAGCTACCCCCCAAACCCAACAAATCAATATCGCTTATAACAGCATCAAATAGACTATGTAGTTGTCTCTAGAACTAAGAAAGTGAGAAGCAAAGCTTAAAGAACTAAGAGGCTCAACAAACAGAAAGATGCCCACGTCCATGGGTTGGAAGACTTAATCTGGTAAACATGGCAACCCCCCACAGAATGGTCTACAGATACCATTCCTATCAAAATCTTAGCTCTCCTCCTCTATCACCACACCATCCAGTTTCCCATGGAATTTGACAAGCTCATCCTAAACCCACAAACTTAACAGGGTAAGAATTTGTACTCAAGTCTGAGTCACAATGGAAACTTCTGACTCAAGACTGAGTCACAATGGAGAACTTTGCAGCAAGGGAAGTGAGAAAATAACAGGGGAGCTTTGAAAGTTTGCCCTCTACAAGCAAAGGGGCCAAAGTCTTCATAGTTAAGGTTTGCCTTCTTTCAGAGTTCCAATGAGTCACTTTGTACTTTTTGAAACTGTCATAACTAAGCTGATAAACACTCTAGATGGCAATAGCTATGGCAGAATGAAATCTAAAAAACACAAGGATATTAAAATATATTAAGATTTTAGGCTAAGAGGAACCATTCTATTTAAATGACCATGAAGGCCATCACCAGGCTGAGACATGATTTCAATTCACCATCTTGAAATAAAAAAAGCATCCCTGTAGGCATGAGTGAGGTGCTTATTAACTTCTGTTAGCAAAATGTTCCTGGGCAATGAGGCGCAAGTAAAGCTCATAACAGTGTTCATCTGAGGCATGTCAAGAATTTTAGACCAAATCTTACAACATTCTACGTCTTTGTATATTCACTCCTGTATTAAAGCATTTATTTCATATCTTATTTCCAAAAACCAGGGCAAGTTTTAAAATATAGCTTAATTTCATAGGAACTTGCCACTGGTGGAGGAAACATGGAGGAAAACACAAGGGCAGGAAAGCAGTTAAGAGTATGGTTGTGTGCCCCAACCCCCTTTCAGCCAGTTTTTCTTTAACATTTCACTGAATAACCTTAATTATTAAAATAAACTAGAAGCCTTCTAGACCAAGAAATATAAGACAAATTGCTTAGAAATTAAAGAGTAAATAACATGTATACATCACAAATAATACTCATATCTCACAAAGAATGTAACACAAATACAATGAAAAATAGCAAACAAATGGAAGCACCCTTAGAAATTTAGCATGCTTCACAAAAGCTCCTGTAACTAACGAGTACTCCTCAGAGACAGTGATGGTGCATGGAATAGTGAGTGTATTACATCAGCCTCACTGTCAGTTCTCAGCGAACAGCTAACACATATTAAAGAAATCACAGGCTTCAAGTAACATCACATTTTTATTGCTTCAGAAAAAAAACTGGATGGATTTAAAAATCCAGTATTTGGTAGTCGTGTCCTTTTTCATGTTTCAGAAAAGAATGCAAACAAGGCAGCAGAGATCTCTCCTTGGTGTCCTTGCCCCACATTGCACAGTGAGAACCTGAACTTGCTATTGGAGATGTGTCAAAATGAAAAACAAAAACCAAGATATGTCTATGAGATCTACAAAGAAACCTGGTTTCTGGAAGGGAAAGGACAACTATATCCAGGCACTTTATAAAGGCAGGAGTTTAATTCAAGACCATTACTTTTTAGGTGTTTCCACTTTATACAGAAATGCATAGAGCAATGAGCAATACATACCAATAAAACCCTTCTTTGCCAACTCCATAGTGAACCTCCGTGTGATCTTTTCTAATTCGTTGTCCTGCAGAGAGATAGAAAAAAGAAAACAATGAAAAACATTTTGAACTTATGTATCTCAGACTGGTTAAGAAAACCAGTGGTCAGCCGGGCGGTGGTGGCGTACGCCTTTAATCCCAGCACTCGGGAGGCAGAGGCAGGCGGATCTTTGTGAGTTCGAGGCCAGCCTGGTCTATAGAGCGAGATCCAGGAAAGGCACAAAGCTACACAGAGAAACCCTGTCTCGAAAAACCAAAAAAACAAAACAAAACAAAAAAGAAAACCAGTGGTCAATAATTCTAGCATGAAAAATGATTTTAAAAGGTTTGTATGGAGATATTTTATCTGTGTACCCCAATAAAGTTTATCTGAGGATCAGAGGAAAAAGGCAGCCACTATAATAAACACAGAAGTCAGGCAATGGCCGGGCAGTGGTGGCGCACCCCTTTAATCCCAGCACTTGGAAGGCAGAGCCAGGCAGATCTCTGTGAGTTCAAGGCCAGTCTGGTCTACAGAGTGAGATCCAGGACAGGTACCAAAACTGCACAGAGAAACCTTGTCTCGAAAAAACCAAAAACAAGTTAGGCAATGGTAGCACACACCTTTAATCCTATCACTAGGAAGGCAGGGATCTGTCTGGATCTCTCTGAGTTCAAGGCCACACTAGGAACAGAGCCGGGCATGGTGGCACATACCTTAAATTCCAATACCAGTTAACCATAAAAGTCTGGAGGTCTGTATAGACAGACAGGAAGTAATGTAGCTGGGCGGAGAGGAAGTGAGATGCAGAACAGAAAGGCATATAGGCATGGGTATACAGGAAGTAGATCTCTTTGGCGGAGGATCTCCAAGTGGTAAGAACATAGATCTCCAAGTGGTAAGAACATGGCTGGCTTCTTTCTGCTTTTCTGATCTCTCAGCTTTTTACCCCAATATCTGGCTCCGGGTTTTTATTAATAAGACCATTTAGCAACTCGTCTACAGGCTTGCCTGGGCTACAAAGATTTCAAGGCAATTCTATGCAACCCTGTTTCAGAATAAAAAAGCAAAGAGGGATAGGGAGATAATAGCTTCGTGGTAGAGCATTTGCTAGTACGTGAGGATCAGAGCCTAGGTCCAATTCTCAATCCTGTGTTTGTGTTTGTGTGTGTGTGTGTGTGTGTGTGTGTGTGTGTGTGTGTGTGTGTGTGTGTATGTGTGTGTGTGTGTGTGTGTGTGTGTATGGGGTGAAGACATGACTGAATTCTTTCTGAGAGTCTCTCTCATAGTTAAGTCAACCCTGAATGGTGCTGAACTTGTTATATGGTCTATACTGGCTGTGAACTTAGAGATCCACCCATACCAGCCAGGTGTGGTGTCTGTAATTCCAGCACTGGAGACACTGAGGCAGAAAGATCTAGAGATATCATCCCCAAACCTTTCTTTCTACTGTTTCTGTCTCTCTCTCACACACAAAACAATTATATCTCTATAGACCCCATGGGTCATGCCTACATTTTCATTTACATGTGAAATTTTAATATAGGTGTGATGGCTCATGCCTGTAATCCTGGGTCTCAGGAGGACTGAAGAGAATGAGGTAAACCTGGACTACATAGTGAGTCTCTGTCTTAAAAACAAAAACCTCAGGCAAAAAAGTGAAAGAGTTGGAGTTTAATAAAGATGTTTTAATATAGGCATTTAATATAGGCATGAAGGCTAATAAAAAGGTACTAAAAAAAAAGGACAAGACACATCTGAGGATGGGCGTGGGCTGCTCCCCACCCCCTGCCCCTCCAGTGTTTCTCTGTGTAGCCCTGACTGTCCTGGAACCAGCTCTGTAGAGCAGGCTAGCCTTGAACTCAGATCCACCTGTTTCTGCTTACCAAGTGCTGGGATAAAAGGTGTGTGTTACCACCATTCAGTGGGTGTGGGATTCTTAAAGAGTTACAGAAATAGTAAGACACACCCAAGTGTGGGTGATAGGATGCTCAAGGAAGTCATCAAAAGGTGAATTTCAGAGGGAATAAAATCACAGTTATTATGTTTGTATACAGATCATTAATTTAGTCTATGTTGACCACTGCAGCAACCAGTTTTAATTAACTTGGAACTAACAGAATAAACGTGATTTTTTATTAGATTTGTTATTTATTGCAAGAACAAAATCTCTACATCTCTTCAGGTCAAGGCCGGGTGGTGGTGGTGGTGGTGGTGGTGGTGGTGCAGGCCTTTAATCCCAGCACTGGGAGGCAGAGGCAGGCAGATCTCTGCGTTCCAGGACAGCTAGGATTGTTAGAGAAACCCTGTCTCAGAACAAAACCAGAACCAACTCCCACCCCCCCCCCAAAAAAAAAAAACCAACACCCTTCAGGTCAAAATTTTATTAATTTGTTTATTTTTGGTTTTTCAGGACAGGGTTTCTCTGTATAGCTCTGGCTGTACTGGAATTCACTATATAAATTAGGCTATCCTTAAACACAGATATCTGACTGTCTCTGCCTCCCAGTGCTGGGAACCCAGCTTAAAACTTCAGATCAAAATTTCACAACATGAACAGAAATGTCTAACAGCATGAAAATATTAACTCTTTACCAAGTAAGAAAAAGGTATCAGTGGCAAGCAAGCAGACAAGTATGGCAAAATACAATACTTAGCTAATTTATTATTAATTTAATAATTATTTCTTTCTTATTCCTTCAGGAAATCAATGGAAACCATTAATCTCACGGGTATGAGGAACACACTTTCAGGCCCTGAGTATACAAACCCCACTTGGATACTTACTGTATAGCTCTTGGGATTGATCTTAACACCTGCTTTAGCACCTCCAAATGGCACATCTGAAAGAGAAGACTGAAAGATGTTGTTCCTTATAAAGCTTAAAAAGTGTAAAAACAAAAAGCACTGTCCAGCACAGGGTGGGTATTCCTCATCTCAAGTGCTTATTTCTTGCATTTCAAATTTTTTATTTACATATACACAATTAGACATCTTGAGGATGGGATCCAACTCTAGATGGGAATTTTGTTTCATATACACATAGACTACAGGTAATGGTGTAGGGCATTTTACTATTGCCTACATTTTGATAATATGGATCAGGTATGGAGCTTTCTACTGGGGCATCATCTTGGTGTTTATATAGTTTCAGATTCTGAAGCATTTCAGGTTAGGAATACTAACTTTGTGGTGATACACTGTGTACCCTAATAAAGCTTGCCTAAGGATCAGGACAGAGCCAGCCACTAGATTAGACACAGAGGTCAGACAGTGGTGGCATACAACCTTAATCCTGTCACTTGGGAGGCAGAGATCCATGTGGATCTCTGTGAGTTCAAGGCCACACTGGAAACAGCCAAGCAGTGGTGGCGCACGCCTTTAATTCCAGGAGGTGACATGACTGGGCAGAGAGCAGTATATAAGGTGTGAGGAAACAGGAACTAAGGCAGTTCAGCTGAGACCCTCTCGAGTAAAGACTCAGGATTTCAGTCAGAGGATTCGAAGAGTTGGTTGAGGTAATAGGTGGTGGCTGTGGCTTGCTCTGCTTCTCTGATCTTTCAGCTTTCACCCTGATATCTGGCTCTGGGTTTTTTATTATAAGACCATTTAAGATTCGAACAATACAACCTTTATCACAAAAATGTATGACTGTTTTAATTCTAGAAAATTCCAGAAATAAATAAATCCACTGCTGAAGCTATAGCTTAGTTGGTAGAGTGCCTGCCTAAGAGGCAAATGCCCTGGGCTCAGTTATCAGCATCACAAGAAAACAAAGATTGTAGACTGGCTTCTTTCCTTGTTTATGTGTTTGCATGTGTGGGGTATCAGTATAGACTGATGCACACATCAGTATGTAATGCAATCTCTCTCTCTCTCTCTCTCTCTCTCTCTCTCTCTCTCTCTCTCTCTCTCTCTATATATATATATATATATATATATATATATATATATCACCAAGGAGATACTGATTAAGGAAATACAAAAGTTTGTCATCATTTCCAAAATGAAAGAGTGAAAGTTTTTATAAAAGCTAACTGGATTTTCTTTAAACATAAATCTTTGTTAAATGCTTATCTATACTCTATAAGATCAAATCATAGTAGAAGGAAAATAAACACAGTATTCTCTTAGACATAGAGTACTGGTTAACTCTAATTAACACCTGGCTAGCATTATAATATCTGTTCAATAAGATTTCATTTCATTTTAACCAACCAACCAACCAACCAACCAACCAACCAACCAACCAACCAGGCCCTTTAAAAACAAAACAAAAAATCAAACAGTTCTGTTAAAAGAATTACAGTTCTGTTAAAAAATATTTGCTATTTCGAGACAGGATTTCTCTGTGTAACAGCCTTGTCTGTCTTAGAACCAGTTTTGTAAACCAGGCTGGCTTTGAACTCCTAGATCTGCCTGCCTCTGCCTCCAGAGTGCTGGGATTCAATGTGTGGGCTACCACACCGGCTCTGTTAATTATTTTTATAGCACACTAAAAGGAGCCTTGGGGCCAGTAAGTTGGCTCAGCAGGTAACAATACTTGTAAGCCTGACAACCTGAGTTTGATTCTAGGAACCCAAGTAAAGGAAACAGGAGAGAACTCTACAATGTTGCCTCTGACCCCCATACACATATATCCTAATAAACACAATAAATAATACAGTGTAGTCATTTAAAAGTACCCGTGCATATGAACACATTCTGCAGAGAATCACTTACCAACCACTGCACACTTGTATGTCATCAAGGAAGCCAGTGCTTTTACTTCATCCACACTCACATCAGTGCTGTAACGGATACCTGGGGACAGTCATTAAAGAGTTATCGATTTAAAGCAAACTTCTGGCAAGTCAATAACAAATAAAAGCTGTAAATTGAAAATGGCTACACCATTTCTATTTTATAGCCATGCCACTTCTATAAACACTTGAAATATCTTATGTATAAGGAAACCATAAAAAGCAAAAAGGAAAGATGCTAATTAGACATCCAAAAGGAGTTACAGACCGGGTACTTAATTAATTTAATGTATTCTGATAGCCAAGAGTGGTCATGAAGTCTAGTTCTTACTTATAAAGGAATTTAAAGATGACCAAAACATCATCTCTGACCTTAAGGGACTTAGAGATTAGCAGATGAAAGCAGTAAGTGATTTCACAAAGACAAAGGTTCTCTCCCCAGGTGAAGAGGGCAAGGTCAGAGGGCTCAGTGGGCAAAAATGTTTCCCGAGAAAGTCTGACCAATTGGGCTGGATCCCTGGAAGTTAACAGTGAAAGGAGAGAATAGACTGCTGGAAGGTATTCCATGATCTTCACAAATATGCTCTCGCATGTGTGCCCACACTTCAGACAAAGAATTCAACAACAACAATTTAGAGTTATCTCTAGGGTGTGGAGAGATGGCTCAGCAGTTAAGAGCTCTTATTCTTCCAGGGGACCCAGGTTTAGTTAGTTCCCAGGACTCTCATGACAGCTAACAAGTGCCTGCAACTCCCGTTCCAGGGGGTCCAACTGCAGATGTGGTACATAAACAGGCAAAACATCTGTACACATAAAATAAGAATAAATAAAATTTAAAAATCACAAACAGGGTTTCATATGGCCAAGGCTGACTTTGGACCCTTGACCATGCCAAGTGGTGAGATTACAAGGGTGCTTACACTATTTCCTATGCTACATTTCAGTTAAGGATTACTAATTTTCCTCTTACTCCTTGGTTTGGGTGATTTGGTGACAGGGATCTCAACACAGGCAAATGAACAGCCACAATCTCATTACTATATGTGTAATTCTAGCATTCGGGAAGCTAAGGCAGGAGGATTGGCAGAAGTTTGAGGCCAGTTTGGGCTGTATAGTGAGTTCCAGGTCAGTCTGGACTACACAGTGAGAACCTGTAAACCCCAAATGTGCCCCTAAAATAGAGTACTATGAAGTATTAAGCCCTAAGCCAGGCATGGTAAAGCACACTGTTGGCAATCCAGCACTCAGGAGGCGGAAGCTGGATAACTAACTGCCATGAGTTTGAGTGCAGCCTGGGCTATTCAGTGAGTAGCCAGAACCTATCTGAAATGAAACACACAAAACTAGCTGAACACTAGTCCAGGAAAGTAAGTTTGTAAATAAGATGAAATAGTTTTAATAACAAAATTTTGCTTAAATACTAAAATGTTATTTTTCAAAATTACTGAAAGAGCCATAGAGTAATATATTAGTGAAAACTATGCCGAAGCACCAGGCATGGTGGTGCACACCTTTGATCCCAGCACTCGGCAGGCAGAGGCAGGCAGATCTCTGAGTTCAAGGCCAGCCTGGTCTCCAGTTCCAGGACTGCCAAGGCTACACCGAGAAACCCTGCCTCATAAAACATACAAGCAAACAGCTATGCTAAAGCAAAAACTAAGTGTAGTGCCTTGCCCAGGTGACTAGCCCACAGTACCTGGACAGGTGATAACACTGTTCTTCCCTGGGGTAAGGGCTGTGGAACTTGTAGCACGGAACCTTGCACTGTCAAGTCAACTAACTACTAGTTACTACTGTCACAAGCAATTACAAACTAGCAGCACACATCAAAGCAATTGATAGGCAGGGTCTTGCTGCACAGCGCAGGCTGGCCTTGAACTTGCTATCCTCCTGCCTTCATTTTCCAAGTGCTGGGATTTTGGCTGTGAAGCAATTGACTTTTTCAAGAGGGTGTATTTTGACAGAAAACTGAACACACATATTAATTACCTTGGCTTTATTACTTCTCAAGATAAACTGGTAGAATTTGCATGTCTGCAATCTAAACACTCAGGAGGAGGGTTTGTGGACAGTCAGGACTAGTGATTTCCAGGCTGAACTATATAGGGAGACTTGTCTCAAAAAACAAAAACAAAAAAACCAAGGGCTGGAGCTTAGGGTAGAGCAATTGCCTAGCACTGAAAAGGCTCTGGGTTTGGCATGCAGCACTGTAAAACAAAACCAATCAACCAGCCGCCAGTGAGCAGGCTTAGCAGCTAACAGTGCTTGCCACGAAGCATAACTACTTGCCTTTAATCCCTGGGACTCACATGACAGTAGATAACTGATATGCATATGCTGTGGCATCCCAAACACACACACAAAAACAAAATCAAATAAAGTTACTACTTCTCTTACATATACCATTTAAAAATTACTTATGTTCGGCCGGCGGTGGTGGCGCACGCCTTTAATCCCAGCACTCGGGAGGCAGAGCCAGGCGGATCTCTGTGAGTTCGAGGTCAGCCTGGGCTACCAAGTGAGTCCCAGGAAAGGCGCAAAGCTGCACAGAGAAACCCTGTCTCGAAAAACCAAAAAAAAAAAAAAAAAAAAAAAAAAAAATTACTTATGTTCTTTTTTTTTTTTGGTTTTTCGAGACAGGGTTTCTCTGTGCAGCTTTGCGCCTTTCCTGGGACTCACTTGGTAGCCCAGGCTGACCTCGAACTCACAGAGATCCGCCTGGCTCTGCCTCCCGAAAGGCGTTACTTATGTTCTTTTATTACAAAAATCTTGGAAAGACAACAGTTGGAAATTGAGAGCATAACACGTGTTTCCAATTGATGGATCTTAGGGATTCTTGTTTGTGAAGTGAAGAAAAATTTCCTCAACTACACCCATGTGGAATTACTAGTTGAGTCACAGGCATTTTCTCTCAGACTATGAACTAATGAGGAACTTGTATTGGAGGCATGGGAGGAGTGGTCTCAGGAAAGCCGAAGCCGAGTGGATTAGCCCTGGAGCAGACAAAGGCAGGGAGAAAGGAGCAGAGGTAACAGAGATTGTGGGGTCAAGCAGGTTTTCTTTGCAAGCTTTCTAATTAATCACAGTACATAGATGTTTTTACTACTGGACTAGCAGGCACAGTAGTATATGGTCGAGCTGTCAGGAATAACAGGAGATCTCAAAGTAAACCCCAGGAAACAAGAGATAACCTACACTCCAGGAAAGCTAGCTATTCTCCCTCTGGGATCCAAACCCAAAGACAGTCTTGGAAATTCTTCACCACATCTGAATAGACATTTAAGATATTTATGTAAGACGAGGACTGCAGAAATGAAGATACACTGGTAATTAATTCCACGGAGGAAATGGCACAGTTGGAGTAGACGAAGAACACACTATAATTCTAGAAACAGGAAGGTACAGTACCCGAGTGTCACCTGTGGTCTCTATTGCTGCTGGCAGTACTGTGTTTGGAAAGAACGCATCTGGGTTTGGGGCAGCAGTGCTCGCTCGTCGGTACAGAGATTAGCACGAAGAGGACTGAGTGTAGAGGATTTTAATAAAAAGCAGTAGCCCCATTGGACACCTGGAATGGCCAATGGGTTGATTACAGAACTGTGAACCACAGAATGGGTATCTTTAGAGGAGGGACCTCAAATCTAGGGCCATGTTCTGCTCTGCTGACAAAATAATCTATGCTCTGGTCCACCAGAGAAAACCACAACCGCCACTGTGACAATGTTGATATTTACCCATTAGGGGAACACTGGAAGGGCAGAGTCTTTGTTTTAAGGTTTCTACTGCTGTGATAAAATACCATCACCATAAAGAACTTGGGGAGGAAAGGGTTTATTTCAGATTACACTTCCACATTGTTGTCTATCATCAAAGAAAATCAGGGCAGGAGCCCAAACAAGGCAGGAATCTGGAGGCAGGAGCTGATATAGAGGTCATAAAGGAGTGCTGCTTACTGGCTTGCTCAGTTTGCTTTCTTACAGCACCCAGAACCATCAGCCCAGAAGTGAGGCTGCCCACAGTGAGCTGTGCCCTCAATTGCTAATCAAGAAAATGCACCTCAGCTTGTCCACAGGCCAATTTCTCAATTGAGGTTCCCTTTTCCAAAATTACTCTAGCTCTTGTCAAGTTAACTTAAAACCAGCCAGCACAGGCAGCGACAGAACAAAAAGTTTACTACCATGGGAAACTTTGAAATAGCCAGTTCCATCCCTGGGATCCACATGGTTGAAAGGGAGGACCAGATTCTTCCAAGTTGTCCTCTGACTTTCACGCACATACCCTCAACCCCCACAAAATAAGTTAAACAAAATAAAACCCACAAAAAAAAACCAAAAAAAAAAAAAAAACAACAACAAAGCAAACCAAATCTTCTACCCCTTCAAAACTAGCTGGAATTGCCATAGCGACAGAGAAAACAAATCACCAGCTCATTACACTAAAAAAAAAAAAAGAGTGAAAACCACAACTGACAGCTTGACATTTTCTTCCTCTTTCTAGCTGAATCAAAACCAAACACCCACTGACACATCTCCTCAGCTACCATCCTTTGGTATGATGAATCAGTAATTACACATTTACGGAAATTCAAAAAATTTTAAAATTACTTGAACTGGTATCTCTTTAATGGGGCATAGTTTATCCTTCAGCAATTCAAATTCTGGCTGTCTTCTAAATGATCTACTATGGTCTACTTAATAAACTAGAGTTCTAAGCTGTGAATGCAGCTCAGGGCTAGAGTGCTTGTGCAAGGCCCTGGGCCTTGTCACTCATAGACAGGCAAAGGGAAAAGAAGGGAAAGGAGGAAGAAAACCAATCAACTCACTTGGTGGTGCCGAGGAACTGCTTTGTCTAAGAAGGCAGGAACATGCCTTTTAAGAACTGCCAACCCACTACTGTACCTGTTCATTTTAGCCCCTTGGAAGACATAAACTTAAGCTTACTGAGAAACAAAGTTTAGCCTCTTTACTGAAAATTTAAATTATGTCTTACACATGAATGTTTTTAAATCACAATTTAAGTCACTTGATCAGCACTGTGACCAGCCTTTTCCTTTGGGAGTGG